GCACCATGTGTTGTGCTGACTATGAGGTCTATTTTATTTATAGCCAATAACACAATTACACAACAGAAGTGCCTTAGACACACGTGCAATTACATTCCAGGTCTCCAAAAACCTGGTCTCAAAATACAGAAGCTGAAATGTGTGCTTCGTTGTGTTCACTAATTATTGTGGAAATTAAAACCCACAGTGATTTAGTTGGTCATTAAAATGCATTTAGATTTTGCAAACTGATGATGATTCGTCTCATAAATCATGACACACTGAAGAAGAAAGAAAAACCTGCTGGAGAGATTACAGTATATATCTCATCTTGCTTGGGAGCATCTCAGGATTCCCCAAAAGGAACTAGAAAGTGTTGCTGGGAAGAAGGACATTTGGAGTACGCTGCTTAGTCTGCTGCCACCAAGACTGGACTTCAGGGAAGTGTAAGGTAAAGGACTGAAGGATGCAGTCCTAAAGCAGGGATGTCAAACTCATTTTACAACATGGGCCACATACAGGTTACTTTTATAACTTAAGTTATAAAAAAATAAAATCCTTTTTCTGTAAAACCACAGTAAAACTCAAATGAATATAGTAGTGAAATTCTGACATTTAATTGTTTATTACTTCATTACTTTGATCTAGTCTGAACAACTATTGAGGAGGGATTCTTTATCATCAGCTGTAAAACTAATGACTACACTGTTAAAAGTTCAAGACCTGGGCACTCTTTCACGTTTTCCAGAGCCATCCAGAGGGCTGGATTGGAGTCTTTGCTGGCTCGATCCTGGCCTCCCAGGCCTTATGTTTAACACACGTGCATTTAAAAAGCAGTAATGTGCAGGCTTACTACTCCCTTAACAAACCAGAACATCAGGCTGTTACTGGTACCTGAGGATCTTTGAAGCATCTGTTTCTCAAACTAGAGACTTTGTCCTCTGATCCCTTGTGAACTACTTCTTTGTGCTTTTCCAACCAGCTTGTGCCTTTTATTTGAGAGTTGTACACCCTGCTGTACTATATCCTCAGTTTTTTGGTCCTTTTTAGCCTGGGACATTTCTTTAAAAAAGTAACCTCAGGCATTTTAGTGCTTCTGTAAATATTCTCTTACAAGGAAAAAAAATACTTTGAATGACATGTCAGACACATTCATCTACAAAGCTGAACTATTTCGCGAGCTTGTGTTTGTGTGTCCACATCTGTGTTTGCCTTGGTCTCTTGGCAAATGGCCCCACTGCTAATCAACCATCCCTATTAGAAAATCTGTGAATATGCTTATTAGTGTGAGTATGCGTGCGTGTGTGTCCACTTGTGTAGGTTTGATTCAGCTGCTGCTCATCAACAGTTCTCTAATGAGGGATAGAAAGTGTGGGGAATCTGCACCTGGACACAATTAGCTAGCATTCACTTTCAATGACTCTCCAGGCTGGAACAAGATATTCTCCCTGCCCCCTACGTTCGAATGCCTACTTCTTTCTTATCAAACTTTTTTCTTTACCCGTACATAATACGACTGCTTTCTTTTATCTGCAAGTTTTCTCTGAGAACTTCATTAATTTGATGTTGAAGGGCATTTTTTTTTTATAGTGCACTCATGAAGAAAGTAAAGTGAAGCTTTACAGGACAGCCTAAATTATGTTATTTACCCGTCCTCCAATATCCAGGACAGGTGGCACCTCCAGATTTAATTTTAGATAAAGTCTGACTGTTTGGGCTCTTGAAACCTAGGGATATGATTTCATTCTCCTTAGATAAAGTTAATTTGAGCTGTCAGACTCTTTATGCCTATTAGACATTAACAGTCACATATCAGACCTAGTGAATACAGGTGGTTAGTTCAGGCCCGTGGTGCAGAAAATCATACTGAGATGTCAGACACGTTTCTTCAAACAGCCCTATTTCAAAGTCACAACAAGAATTTAGAAAGTTGCCAGGTCAGAGGAGGTAAACCCAACTGCAAAAATCCTGTGACTGCTGAAAACACCTCACTCAGAAAAAAAAAGGAGACAGCGGCAGAAAGAGAGACAAAAGAGATGTTAATTATACAGTAGGCTGCTGGCTGTCAGAGTGAAAAAGAGTGGGGCCTCTCCGACGGTTGATGCCACTAATCATGGGGTGTGACACAGCATGACACCCTGCTATCTCTAATGTAACACACAAGTGCACACACACACAAACTCAAACGCACACACACTCAAAGGCGCGTGTGCTCGGTGCAGCGCACGCTGGTACATTCTATATTTGTATCTTCATTATAATAATAATTTCTTCTTCCAGGCTGAACAGTGATATGAGAAGCGGGGTGTTGCATGAAATGTTTATCCCAAGAAATGAAAACTATTTCTTCTTCTTTTTTTTGTTTTCACCCCTTATGCATCAAAAGGATGATGCATCAAGTCTAAATATATGCAACATACCCGGGGAAATAGATTAATTAGTGCGCTAAAAAGAATTTGAATCGTCAAGGGGTAAGATTTGTACCAAACCATCAGCAGCTTTACTGACACAGCATGAGGTCTGGTGACTGTAGAGGCCATTGGGGTACGGAGGACTCTCTGTGATGTTCAAGAAGCCCGTTTGAGATGATGGGAGTTTCGTGTCAATAAAATATAGGCAACACAGGATGTATTAGGGCTTTTTTCCTTTTGCACATTCAAAACTTTGCTAAAGTGTAGAAGTATTTGTTGTCAAGAGTACATAAACTTTCAAAAATGACACTTCTCAGTAAGAATTACGTGTTCTAATTGAAAGATAGTTCTAGTTGAACGATGAAATCATGCATACTTGGTCACTTGCTGCTAATTATAAAAGCACATAAGCCTGACTTGGCAGTTATCTGTCAGTTATTTTAGGTAATTAGGTAAAGTAGGTTCACCATGCTAGTCCCTCACATAAACGCTGTCCCATCCCTCTCCACCAGCCTGAACTGTTGATACAAGGCAGGATGGAACCATGCTTTTATCTGTTTTGGAATAAATTCTTGAGACTCTTAAGATCAAGCAACATTTTTCCAATCTTCTGTTGTCCAATTCCAGTGAGCCTGTGTGAACTGTAGCTTCAGTTTCCTGTTCTTAGCTGACAGGACTGGAGCCTGATGTGGTCTTCTGCTGCTGTGGCCCATCTGCTTCAAGGTTTGACGTGTTATGGATTCAGAGATGTACTTCTGCATACCGCAGCATGTGGTTATTGTTTCCTTCCTATCAGCTTGAAGCGGTTTGGCCATTGTCCTGTGACCTCTGACATAAACAAGGCATTTTCTTCTAGAGAACTGAATATTGAAAATAATGGATATTTTCTTTTTATTCAGACAGAAAAACCTGTTAGATCAACAACTCCTGAAATACTATGACCAACAACCATGCTACGTTCTAAGTCACTTAAATCAACTTTCGCCTCTATTCTGGTTCAGTTTGAACTGAGTTGCTGCCATATGATTGGCTCATCAGATATTTGTATTAACAAGCAGAAGAACAGATGTACACGGTGAAGTGTCTGGTGAGTGTGATTTGTTTTTCATTTGTTTTAATCTTATTCTCTAAATGTGCACACAGGTACACAACACCCATGGAAGTCCTTGAAAAGCAGGTTTTTAGAAGATTTCTGGGCATTCAATAAAGTTGGCCACTGGTAAAAATGAACAGTTTCTGCTTTTTAGAACGACTACTGCTTTTTATTATAAGACAAGCTTAGTACCTAATTTAGTAGAAGTGAAGTAATAAAATCTCCCACAAGCTTGGTGACAGGGATCTATTGTATTCCAAAGCGTCCCTTGGGCATATCATTCCAAGGTTGTTCAAAGTTGTTGAGCTCTCATTGACAGATTTTGGGATGCATTTTGAAGAGAAAATTTCAGAAAATAGGTTAAGGCTTTAGGGGCTAATCACTGCGGAGTATTAAAGCCGTCAGTGCTCTGCTGGATCTTTTACCACAGTGCTGTCTTCTTCGAAAGCTATGGTAACACTTGTTATGACTGTTCATATAGAATTTCTCAAAAAGTGCTTCCAATCAGTATCTACCTGTACGCTCGGGTTTTCATTCACCATTGGGAAGGGGGAACGCTATTACCACGACTCCCCTGCTGTGGTGATCATGCTGTTTTTGTTGGGGAGTGATGAGGTGAGATGAGCCAAACATAGAACATAGACCGCTTTCACACAATAGCTTCGTTCTAAGCGAGCTTCCTGACTGAATTGAATTGATTCACATAACAACAGCTGAACAGGTTGGAGTACTATCGTGTGGGGCAGGAATGATAACAGCATAACGCAGGTACTTCATCTAAGAAAAATAACAAAGGTGCATGGAACAGAAAAAAAAACACTATCTGACTGCTGGCCTAATAAAGTGTGTTAATAAAAAAAGAGCTGTTATAGATTAAATATCTACAATGGGAAAAATGACTGCCATGTCAGTAGAATGAACAGCATGCCATCACCGTTTTACACTCCTCTTACTTCCCATTACATCCACTGATACATACACACACACACACACACACACACACACACACACACACACACACACACACACACACACTGTGCTGTTTGGTAATGCATATGCACTTGCCTGTTTTTGTACAGGAAATGATGCATATTACAAAATCCCAATTAATTCAAGTGAGTTGCACACTGAGTTGCTGCTTGATTAAGTGTCTGTACACACTAATCTCGATGACCCTGATTGTTTCTGTTCAGTTGTCTAGCAGCTTATGTAACACCATCTTCCTTCGTCTGCTTTCAAATAAAACAGACTACCTCAGATTATTATTATTATTTTGGATCAGCGCACTCCTTTCAGACCCGGGCAACGCTTTATCCTTCTCTGCTTGTAATATCTAACGTCATATACCATTTGCCTAAGGCACGGAGTGAGATTTATGACTCCAGTGGAAATAAAACTGAACAAATATCCATAGTTTATTCCTTTATTCAGTTACAAAAGCATGATGACTTCTTTCCAGGACACTTTGGTTAGAAAAAAAAGAAGATTTCTCAAAAGTCTGACTCCTAACAGTGTTCTGTATTCTTTTATATTTATTTATTTTAAAACTTTGAACCCATTTATTGAACTTTGAATTTTAAAACTCAATTTTAACATTTGTAGAGTTAAAAAAAACATGACAGTGTTTCTGGTGATTAGATTCCAGTAGTAAAAGTACCATGAAAAAAAAAAAAGAAATATTCACATGGTGATAGATTTTAAGCACTTCAAAAAAAACAAAACAAAACAAAACAAAACAAAAAAACCCCAACAGGAGATTAAATTAAAATCAACTCTAAACTGGCTTTGAACAACAAAAAGCGTCTGCAGATTAATTAACATCAGTGTGTTGTTTACTTTTTTCATAGCCTTCAAAGTGCCACCTAATTCTCTTTTACAATACAAACACTGAATGTCCTTTTTTTAAAAAAAACCAAAAAAACCAAAAACTTTTTCATTTTGTTTAATTTTTTTTTTTTTTTTTTTACAAATCCTGTTATGCCATATAAAACATATTTCCCAAGATAAAGCCTCCACAGAAGAGTGCTGTGCTGTCGTAGTAATTAATACATCATCAGAAAAAAGAAGACGCATATGAAGGAGGAAAGAAAAAAGTATTCACACGGCAGGTAACTAATTCTGGTACACTGAGGCTTGATTTAAAGGAGAACAAACATTTTCACTGGGGAAGAGAAAAATCCTTTTATATACATAACAATGTGGAGATACATATGATTTTTGCTTGCCCACTTATGGCGGAATGGCGGAAAGAGAGGTTCCACATTAGATTTGGTACCCTCGAAAAAGGAAAAAAAAAGGATACAAACTCAGGAATAAAAATAAAAGCACATCCATTTGTGGAAGCAGAGGATGAGTGCTGCCTTTGTACAGGCGCTTGGCTGTAAAATAAGAGGTCAGCTAGATTCTGCAGTACATAATCCAAAGCTGACCTCTGGCATCCAACAGCAGTGAAAATCCCATTTCAAGCGCTTCGACCTTCCAGTCACCTTAGACTAAACTCACCCCCTTGGACACTGTTAAAGACACGCAGATATCAAGCCAGTGGTGATGGTTGATGCATTTTAGGACTTCTCTTTTCAAGGACTATAATTTTGAACCACTTTTTTAAAAAAAAACTTTAATTTTTACTCACATTTCCCTCAACTTGCTCCCTCTGCTTAATCTTCGGTTTTTCCTATATTTACTTGAAAGCCTTTTAACGATTTGGGTATGTGAAATTGCTGTACTCTGCAGTGGAATATTTGTGGAGGTGGACTGAGGTGGAGTGATAGCTATGTAAGAGGAAAAGATGTTCATGCTGGCTGAAGGCACATAATGCATCCTTTACATAGCTCCAGGCTCTGATGTGTTATGAAAAAAAAAAAACTGTTAGTGATTTCTCTCCTGGCACATTTTTCAGCTGTACGACTACTCCATTTAAACAATCAGTTTGGCAATAGTCTATATATATATATATATATATATATATATATTTTTAAATTATTGTTGACAAATCCAATGAAAAGAACAAAACCAGCTATGATTACCAATCTTTCAAAACAAAAATGAACTAGTCAAAGTCTGATACTGTAACTTATTGCTCTGATACTGCCTAAAAAAATATCAGTGAGTCACCTGACCCTGCTGAAATTTCATTTCGATACAACAAACCAGAATACTGCATATTTCCTTTACTTTATCCTGCACCTTTTCTGCAATAATACCCAGAAACTGGGACTGCATGCTTCAGAGAGGCTGGCAAAACACAAAATTCCTAAGGATGATCAAGGCATGATGCATTTGTCGCAAAATGTGCAAGCCTGGGGAGGAAAAAAAAGGAAAAAGCTAAAGCACTGGACCCTATCCACTTATATGCTTTTGTGCATTTATGATAAGAGCGCAACATCCAATACATTTCTTATCACCATGTGTATGTTCTCAGTTTCTCTAAAATAACAGGTCCTCCCGCTATTTGCAGTCAGCATAGTGCTACCAATTATTTCTATCTATTTCTATGTAAAGAAAATGCAGAGAGGGCTATCATAGAAAAAGTGTAGAAGTTGTTTAAAAAATAAAATTGAAATATTACTGTCTGTGGTGAAAGCTTAAAAAAGGACACGTGATTCCCTGTAGTTACTGGATAAGTGGGAAAG